TTGACAGAGAGAGACACAGCGAGAGAGGGAACACAAGCAGGGGGAGGGGGAGAAGGAGAAGCAGGCTTCCCGCAGAGTGGGGAGCCCGATGCGGGGCTCGATCCCAGGACCCTGGGATCCTGAACTGAGCCGAAGGCAGACGCTTAACGACTGAGCCACCTAGGCGCCCCTAGATTATATATTTTTAGGTCTTATTTAATTATAATGGCTCTTAGATCACAGGTATCCTACGAGAGTCCTGGGAAGAGGCTAAAATATAGGTTTGGAAGCACCCAGAGCCCTATGCAGACTCTTAGCCTTCAGAAGGCAGAGAAACCCCTGGGTCTGGCTGAGTTGAGATGACCCCTAAGCTTCTTTTTCTTTGACCACTGAGAATTAAAGTGGTGACCCCAGCTATGTATTTGTTACCACCCATCTCCTCATGATTCTGTTGCCTCTGGGGTCCTGGCATGTGGCAGTTTTGAAGACCCTTGTTAGTCCTGAGTAAAATGATGCCTCTAAGACCAGCCTCTCTGTGCCCTTGCCTTTGGTCCTGAAATGTTTGTTCAATTGTCTCCCGGGGCTGGAGGCCCACTCTCTCTTCACTAGCTGCCGCATTGCTTACTTTGCACAGTTGACCCTTGGACAACATGGCTTCCAACTGCTCAGGTCCACTTACACATGGATTTTTTTCAATAAATACAGTACAGTGCTATAAATGTATTTTCCTTAGGATTACCTTAACATTTTCTTTTCTCTAGCTTACTTTATTGTACCCATACAGTTTCTAATACATATACAAAATATATCAATAGACTGTTATCAGTAAGGCTTCCATTCAACCATAGGCTATGAGGAGTTAACTTTTGGGCGAGTCAAACATTATACACAGATTTTTGACTGTGTGGGGGTGGGCGCCCCTAAGCCCCTCATTGTTTAGGGGACCACTCTAACAGCTTGTCAGTGCATTTGAGAAACGCAATTTTCCACTCCCCCTTTTGCTGCTGTCGAACTCCTGTCTGATGTTGTTTGCTTAGTGGGTAAGAGGTGTAAAATTATCCTGGGGGGACAGTTGTGTGGTTAGTGTGTTTATTGTTTAGGTAGGAAGGTTGCTATGTTGTTTTCATGAAGACTGTGGTTCTAAGGAGCATTTTAAAAGGATTCTTTGGAATGTTTCTTTAAAGGTGTCTCTTGGGAATCAGCCATTCATTGTTCTCTATGGCTTGTAAAGAAGCAGGACCCTCAAGCCCTGGGCACCTAAAACAGTCTTTCATGAGATTCGCACGGGAGCGAGACATTTTCATAACCTTTCGTCCTTCGCCTGCACAACGTAAAGGAGCAAATGGTGAAAGAGAACCAAACATGTCACTAGTGGTTGCATGTTAAGTTTTAAAAAAATATTTTTTTAATTAAAAAAAATAAACATTTTTTATCCATTTTGCCCTTTTGACTTGCTCCTGCACTTCCTTTAGGCATTTGCTCAAATGCCAGACTTCCCTGTACAGCCAACTGAAAACTGCAGCAGCCCCTTCCCCGCTGTATCCCCAGCACCCCCCCTTTTTTTTTTCCTACCGATGAGACATACACTCACAAAGTTACTCATTCTGCTTCCTTTCATTACAATAGAAACTCCAAACTGGTAGAGATTTTGTTCAGTATGGTGTCCCCAGTGCCTGGAATGGCTCCTGGCACATGATATGTGTTCACTGAGTATCTGTGAAATGAAAACAAAAATATGCCCAATAGCAGCAGCTGGGTGGTGATCAGCTCCTCCTAAATCAGCCTGGGGGCGGGAGGGGGTGCCTGCTCTCTAACAAACTGGCCAAGTGGTGAGAACACCCACTGGGGCTCGCCGCCTGCCCAGCGAGGAGATGTCCCTCGGTTTTCCTCTGCCTGGGCCGGTGGGGGGGCATTCCTATGGATCCTTCCTGGGCTCTGTGGCCCACAGAAGCCCCAAAAGGATGGGATCAGTGTCAGTTTGCTCAAAATGAAAGGCTAGCTTCACGCCTCTTCTTGATCAGGATGTACAAGTAAAATTCAAAAATTCAGATTTTCAACTTGAGAGATCGGGGATGGTTCTTCTCTACTTTTTCACAAATATCTTGGAACCCAAGCCAAATGCACAGAAATGTCCAAAAATAGCCATAGTGTGTGGCTCGCCTTCTGTCCAAGGGTATATAGCAGCTGGTGGCAGTTTCTAAAAATAGACCTCTCTGGCGCAGGTCACTGGGCAGGAATGGCCTCCGTGTCACTCTGTTTACACAGCCTCACACCGGACACCTTCATAACGACAGTGCTGACTTGGTGAGGCGTGACACCAACATCAGTCTGCGGGAATTTGTGGTGAGTGCGTCCTGGGACGGCAGCCCCGCGAACACTGAACACCGAGCAGCGACCCTACCGAGACCAGCAGTGTTTGCATTAAGGGCCCTTTCAACCTTTGCTTCTTGATTCCTCACCCCCTTTCCATCACTGTCTCAAAGTCAGGGGCAGAGGTCAAAAACTCCAGGTCCTTCTACGAGATACTAACGAACAGAAAAATAAACTCAGGCTCAGGAATTTAAGACCCACAGTGTTTCGTTTTGTTTTATTTCATCTGTCTTGCAATTTTCCCCTTAGCAAGTGTGCGAGTTTACAAGGCATCATATGGTGGCAAATTTAATTTTGAGACCTTTCAATAAAGTGTTCTGAAAAGGCTGACTTATCCTTGACCTTTTCAGAGCAGCCTTCCAATAGTGAGAGGCCTTTTCTTTTTGTGTAATAATTCATGGACACCCCTGTCCTGTCCCCTAAATGCAGACAATGTGGGTGGCATTAGAATTATTTTCTTGGGATTAACATTCTAAAATTAAGAGGATAAAAGAGTGGGGACACTTGATATTGAATTTACATGAAGTGATTGAACTG